ACTACTACTACCACTACTGCCGCTACCACGACTGCGACGAAGATTAATCTGCAGCTGCAGCGACGGCAACATCAACGACTACGGTGGCTATGATTGTTGCTGTCCTTTTTGGCTACTGTTGTGGTCCTAAACTGTATCTACAAATCTATCTTGCTGAGGGGCCTCCTGGCAAACCCTAGAAAACCTTCTTTCCTTCTCCTTAGCCGAGGCGCGAGACAAGTACCGCAAGCTGATCCGCAAGCATGCATTGCACTTCAAGAAGCGCGGGGCGGCGTGGATGCAAGCGGGCTTCAGCATCATCCCGTAACCCTGATTCCTGACATCTGCAAAACTGGCCGGCCCTCCAATGGACCACAGTCGCCTCTTAGGACCTCATGCTGAAGCCTCGCTCATTTCAGAGCACGGGGTTTAGAGCCAAGGTTGTTTCTGCCTCGGGCCATCTCGACAACTCTAAACCGCAATTCCACCCGATGTTCGGAATTCGGAAATGTTGGGCCGCAAATCATCACTTGTAAGAACTGTCGGGGAGTCCAGGGTTTTGGGGCTTCGGAATGTTTCCATTTCATGAACCTCTAGTACTCCTGTAGAGCATGATTTAGGCGAGCCTATGTTTCTCAGGACCATGCAGCTGTGAGCGAACCCCAAAACCGCTTCCGCCGATGCCCCCTGCGATGGCCCAGAGCGAACTTTTTGTTTACGTCAGGGTATGCAGGTATACTACAACCATAAACCCTAAACCCTAAACCCTAAACCCTAGGAATCTCTAACTAGAAGCAAACCATTGGAGTCGCGCGGCATGGCAAGGTCAAGATCGCTACGCCGCAAGACATTTACTCAGGCGCGACCACTGGGATGTTATTGTTTAGGGGATAGGGCTTATAGGGCTTTCGGCTTAGAGGGTTTAGGGTTTTGGGTTTTGGGTTTAGGGTTTAGGGTTTCGGGTTCAGGGGATAGGGGATGGGGATAGGGCTTATAGGGCTTTGGGCTTAGAGAGTTTAGGGCTTTGGGGTTCAGGGATGTTGGTTTCCGGGTGGTGTAGACTCTTCATCATCCTAGCTGTGGGGTGCTACCTGCCCAGATACCTGTTTATGTGGCTATCTACAATCCTGCACCCTGAGCGGTGTCATACAAGTCATACATAGTTCATGGTTGTCAGGGAAGGCTATTCTAGCAACCATGTTGTTATCAATCACTACTGTCCCCAAAAGAACAAGAACCGTGACTCATCGCTTGGCAAACTGCCCGGCACCTAAAACCGCAATCCTACAGCCCTCCCGAAGTCAAGACCGAAAGAACCTGAATAGCTTGATAAGACATTGCTTCAAACATGGCTACTGACTGTTCGATGTCTGTAGCACGTCGAAGAGGAGCCATTGTAGAACCCTAAACCCTAAACCCTTGTAGCCTCTTCTGCTAAGCCTAAGCCGTGAACACCACCAGGTTGGGCGAAGCGAAGCTGGGCAAGGTGGCACACTGGCTCAGAGCAGTGTTTTTTGTAGATAATGTGGAAGCCAGAATAATTGCCAATACTCTGCCTTAGGGTTCCTATTA